ATTTTGGATATTTTAATCATAAGAAACAAATGGGAAAAAAGTTCAAACTGTGCAAATACCTCTCTTCCTTATTAAAAAAAAAAAAAAGTCTCCTACATATGCTCATATGACTTTTGAGGCAGATAGTTGCATTCGGTAAATGTTGTACCTGAAGAAGAAAATCAAAGAGTGCCATCTTGGACCATTCATGATGATGAATTTCAGTACAGCCCGACTCAGCTTTTGGAACTTTACCATTCTGCCAGCATTTCTGCTTCAGTAGCTGCTGATATTGCCCCCAGGTTAATCTCACTGAAGAATGGGTACTATTATCTGTTGGACTCAGTGAGGAATCCCAGAGAATAACAGGACAAGCTTGACCATCTGAAAACAGAAAAACAGACCATCAGCACAGTGCAATACTCTCAGTTCTACTTGATCATTCTTTAGACATTGCTTAAGATCAGCAATTATACCGTTCTACAGATGTGGCAGGAAAAATGGCCAGGGATTAATAACTTGACATGCTTTGGTTAATGTGGTCTTATTCTACATCTAAAACCAGACACCACAGTAATGGAAGAACCATAGACATTATGAATGCCTTCAGTGTATCAGAGGCTTTCTCTGTTTGAAGCACGAGATTAATGTACAAAATCATATATTAAACCAGACTATTAAAAAGCTTACAGATAAAGAGCCTACAGTGCCACTGTGAGTTAATGGTGTAATTTCCCTCTGTTTCCAGTGAACTGATGATGATTTTCAAGAGCTGAAAACAAATGTCAAAGTATTTTTAATGCACAATGCACACAGAAACTCTATAGGAATAAACCTCAGCAAAGAATTTAGAATTGAGCCTTCCCAGTGTAAGAACTGATGAATATATTTCATTCAATATTAAAATAAAAAAAAAGCACCGAGCACTCCTGAAAATCAGGCTTCTTCCACTGAGGTGCCTGAATAAATATTTAGGAAATTAATTTGTGAAATCTTACCTATTTCCTGACTCTGGCTCCATCACTTACATTGTAGATGACTTTAGCCAAGTCAGATCAACTATCAGTTAAGCTTCTTTTCCAAGCTAGCTGGAGAAAGTCTACATAAACATTGGGAATTGTCATGAAAAAAGGGACAGCCTTCTACAGGATCAAGTCTGATCTGTTATTTTTATATCTCAAATAACAGCTTATGTAGACATTAATGAATTCTTCCACAAACCAAATATATAAATGGTCTTCTAACAAAACAAACATGTCCTGTCTACGCAAAAGGGACATGATAAACAATAGTAATATAAATACTTGAAAAATATGAATAATATCTTGCCAATTTCCATTAAGATACAAAAACATTTTTAAAAGACTGAGGTTAAATACAGGAAATGTTTGCATTTCAGAGGAAATGGGAGCAGAAAAGTTGAGCCAAAATAAAATCTTTCAACTCTGTAACATAAGTTGAATTACAGGAATATGAAACAGCAGCTTCAGTAAAGAGCAGTGACTCAAATTTTTGACACTTGCAGGAAAAACATGAAGATGCTGAATTAAAGCAGATAAGTGGTCTGATTCATAGCTGTATGAATTATCACAACCCCACTGAAATCAGTTGAGCTTTTCTGATTCAAACCTCATGAAGTTAACTGAATGGTGAAAAGTAAGGTCTGGCTAAGAATCAGAGCTTCCAGACTGATACAGCCAAAATTGAGGAGGCTGAGCACACTTCAGATTAAGTCCATAATAAATGTCCATAATAAATGTATTCTACATGTGCTTCTTTCCTAATCAGCTTTATATATAAACACAAGAGGCTACTGCCTTTCTGTTGCTGCAGCTGCATTTCATTGAATCTTGCCCTAAGAGGACTGACTTCATTTTATTTTCATCTTCCATTTTATATTTATATATCCACTTAATTATCTAAAGATGATACGCAAAATTGTATGGGAAAGATTTTTCACAACTTCTGTTGGAACCAGCTTCCTTGTAACTCACATACATTTTTAAACATTAAAATATTTCTAAAAATATCTTAGGACATTAGGAGCTACGGACTTAGGATAGCCTAAGTTCAATAAGGTAACACAGATGAAACCTCAGGCTGCTAAGACTAGACTGCCTCAAGGTTCTCAAACTGCTTCATGTGCAGTTAAGTACTGTATCGCTGCGTGGCAGCTTCAGCATAAACATCATGGTAGATATCCACACCCCACATCAGTTTGAAAAAGTCAAAATTCAAGCATGCCCATGACAACATCACTAAAAATAGCAAATCTTTCATGAGGTACTTTAAGCCCTTTCTCAAACTCCTCATTGTTTGCAGTAAAGCAGTACAGCTTACCACTGCCACATTTGAAAGTAACAGTTCAGTTGCCCATGTATTAGCAGGAGAAGAAAACTTAGTGTGGAAAGATGAGAAGGAGTGACATACAGAGGAGGAAGAAGGATGGTTGTCAGCGTGCAGTAGTTGAGGCCCTCAGTAAGTGGCACAACAAAACTGCACAGCAATATTTTGTACCAAAAGCTGAGTAAAAGCTCAGCTATGATATAAGAAGCCAGAGTCCTACCCCTACAGCTGTCAGGTGCAAAACACACAAACCTGCCCCAACCTGTGTTATTGCAGTTGTAGCTCAAGCCCTTACACTGGCATTGTCCTACTCTGCAAATGCTGTTGCTGAGCTAGGGGCATACATGCAAACTAATTCAAGTAGGGCTGTGTCACCAAGCAAGGTCACATATGTCTCTTCTGTTCCTCAGGGTAACTGAATAATGAAGATTCTAGGTCCTGTGGTATTAACATGACCATCCTAAAACTCAAACACACAAGGGTCAGCCTCCATTTTCTCCAGAGTAGACACGGTTTTCTAGAATCAGAGAACAGTTAGGGCTGGAAAGGACATTAAGATCATCTAATTCCAAGCCCCCTGCCATGGGCAGGAACGCCTCCCACTAGACCATGTCGCCCAAGGCCCTGCCCAACCTGGCCTTGAACTCTGCCAGGGTTGGAGCATTCACCACTTCTTTAGGCCTCACCACACTCACTGTAAAGAACTTGAACCTCCCCTGTTTAAGTTTGAACTCTTTGTCCTATATGATTATTTCTTGTTTTGCAGGCTCACTTTTCTTTGTTTATAGGTGTTTTGGAGCTCTTGACATTCTTCACACCTTGCAGGTACCAACTGGAGTAATGACTGCTTGTGTATGCCCAGAATCATGCTCTCCTAGATTGTAATACTGGACTCAAAAGGGCTTTGTCCACCTCTACTCCCCAGGGGTTTTATGTTTGGCCAATTCATTTATGTGAGGAAAAAATGCTTTACAACGAGGGTGGTAAAATACTGGCACAGGTTACCCAGAGAGGTGGTGAACGAGCCACCCCTGGAGACATTGAAGGCCAGGCTGGATGCGGTTCTGGGCAACCTGATCTAGTTGATGTCCCTGCTCCTTGCAGAGGGTTTGGACTAGATGACCTTTAAAGGTCCCTTGCAACCCAAACTACTCTATGATTGCGAAAATGTGAGAGTTATACCCGATTTTTCCAACTATGATGGAAAAAAAAGAAAAAAAAAAAAAACCCCTTGGTTAACGAGAAGGTTTACAGCTAGGGAAGGGAAAGGCAGCAGACAGAGGACTTGCACACAGTATTTTGCTAGACTTCAAAAAAAGAAAAAAAAAATCATTGGGGGATTTGTGAGAACAGGGGAAACAGAACCTGCACAGGGATTTGCTAAGCAGTTCTTTGAAATTGCTTTTGACAAAATGAATGACAGTTTTGAAAAGCCCATTTTTTAAGATTTTAATGCTACATCAAACATGTCCTGTTAGATCACATCACAACTGAAGCAAGCTAAAGGGATGTGTAGTGAAGAGAGATGTCAGCCCAGAAATTCTGTACACTCATACACACATGCACAGTCTGCATTGCTTTCTTTCCCATATGAATAACTATGATTCACACAAGCTGCCCCACAAAAAATTTTACAGTGCCCACCTAATCTTAACTTAAATGCCTGTGGGTTATAGAAATGAGCTCACTAATTGTTTACACTACTTTTAAGAATATATTTTTGCTCATTTGCTCAACACAGATGTTTTCCAGATTATGGCAAACATAAGCATGTAAATAGAAATGAGTGCAAGCAGACATTAGGCATCTGAGCTCCAGCATATTTCCAGGCCAAAGGAATGGTGAGAGACAAGGTACAGTAACTGTTCTGAATGCTCTGTTCACCCTTTAGCTGGAAAAAATGAAGTGAGACCAAAATAGCATTATTTCTCTTCTCATCACCTAGCAACACTCTTCTTGCTATAGGAACATAGCCAGTTATAAGGAAAAGCAAATTAAAGAGGGCAGAATGACACTCTGTCCCAGATAGTCCAAAGCATACTGTAAGGTGACAGACACTGAGCAACACAATGCACAATTCGTCTAATAGCAGTTTTCAGAGGCTTGCTGTCTGTCATCTCTGCAGCCACGCTGTGCAGAGTTCCTCCAACCGAACTGTCTTAATGCCTTATGACAACCCTATAGCAATAAATCTTGCTCCTAAAAATAAACTAGGCATAATGTATCTTCCATGCTCTGTAAGTATGAATAATATTCAGAAGCCTCCCAACTGTTTTCCTAGAGATTCATTCACATTGTTGTACAGGCTGCCCACAGGGAAGATCTACAAAGTAGGACGAAATTGGAGATCGCTGGGTCATTTTCCTGCTGTCAGACTTCAGAAAATCATTCTTATATTACTTTTTTTTTTAAGCAGACTGATACAAAAGTATTTGGTATAAGCTAGTTTCAGCAGCAAGAAACAAAAAGTAAAAATATAACCAGCCACTTTAGCTATGATTCATTAACATGCAACGTAGTCCTTTTGGATTGTGATCTGCAACTGTACAAAAATAGCAGTAAGACTGAAGACATGTTTAACAAGACAACAATTTTAGAAGTTACATTACATGTCTGAAATCTACCTTTCATTTCACTAAAGGTTAAAAACCAAATTTTCAATTGAAAACTTTGACAATCATGTAATAGGCATATTGAGAGAATTACTGTGTATATGTCTTTGCATAATACATAGATGTGTGTAGTGAACCTCAAAACGTAACAGCAGAATTCACTGAAATATAAGTTTGGTTTAGGGAGAGGGAGGAACTTTTTAAGTTCCCAGAGGCATTAGTATCAAGTTCCATGCAGGAAGGTCCCCTACCTCTCTGAGTAGGTTATCTGACTAAATACTAAACCCCTTTTCTACCACCTCTTTGAGATGAATTCTCGTGCTCACTTTCAACAATATTTTATTAAAGTCAATTCTAAACAGTGAGAAAACTTAAAAAAAAAAAGTCAGAAATACCCACTGAATCACAGTTTTTTCTGTTGTTTTTTTCTCACCAGTTTCTCTCCAGGCAGTCTGTACAACATCATGCAATCTACAGATGACTCCCTCTATTTTTTTCTCATTTCAGACTCTTGTGGAAGGGAAACAGTTACTGCCCTCAGCAACTAATAGTATTTGATCTAAATGTTGAGGTTCTGCATCCTTTGGACAGAATTAATTGCACTGCAGAAAATGCACACAGATACCAGCTTTTTTTCCCTGTAACAATGGGGTTAAGTTCTCAGGCTCACAGGAGTTAAAGGTCACACCTGTGGCCCCATGGTTAACGCAAGGGGTGGAAGGAAACCTCAGCACCCCACCTGCAAGCTGAAAACCACAGGAATGCGTTACCTTGGAAGAACTCTGATCTCCTGCTTACAGAAGGTAAGCTCCTGTTTAGCCCCAAGATCCTATCCAAATGAAAGGCAAACACCTCGCTCATGTCGAGGGGTCTTTTGGTGATCCCACAGTGTCCCTGATTACAAGCAGTTCCTCTGGTGCTGAGAGCTCCTGCAAATACGACCAGGACTGCTTTGTGAGAAGATACTTCTTGGATGCTTTCTATCCGAGAATCTGCTAGCATGCGCATATTTAGGATGTCATCTTTGCTCAGCCAAGAGGGACGGCTCTCACTGTAAATTCTGATATTGCTTTCCTCAGGCTGGGATTGTGCCTTTATAGCTCCAGAATTTCCACCAGGTCTCTGGCGACTCCTCTCCCTGATTGCCATTCCTTTATGCTTGTGTTCATCCAGCTGGTGCTTTCTTGCTTCCAGGACTATTGGTGCTCCCATTGTGCCAGCCACATGCGTGGCCCTCCCTGGCTGTTGGGCAAAGGCCTCTTCCTGGCCAGTAAAAGTGGCTTTTGGAAAGTGCTGCCCATAGGACAAAGGAGTTGCATGTTTCTTCCTGCGCTTCGGCTTCACTGTGCCTCTGATGTTGGCAGGCTTGCTGCGCTTGGACCGCAAGGTGATATAAACTACATTGGGTGGCAGCAAGGTCCCATTGCTACCAAGCTGGGGTTCCTGGAAATTGGGCGGTGACAGGGTGCCATCCAGTGGGATGCCCAGAAAAGGAGTTTGGGCTGCATCTTGGAGACTTCTAGAACTGATCTTTTGATGTCTCCCTTTGTGCTGGGGTAAAATGTGACCCACTTGACTGACGAGGAATCCCAGGTAGATCACGCATGCAGTGCCCACTAGCAGGTTCCTCCTTGTCCTTGGGCGCCTGCAAGTCCAGAGCCTCAGCACCCGTGCAGAGCATGAGCAGCAAATAAACAAGTTTTTGATTTTACTTGGCTGACCAAAGGTGGTCATTTCTCTAGTGAATACACATGGTGAAAACAGCATAAAGTCTTCCATACATTCCAGCCAGAATGATGATGCATGATTTCCCTTCCACGATTTCTATTTCTCCCTTTCCAAATAGCTTCCAGCATCGGTGATGGACAGAGGCTACTGATATGCCTGGGAACGCGTTTAACACTGAGGATGCTGACACTCCACCTTCTCAAACCACTGAATTCTTATCAGTCACCACAGGGGAAGTGATTGGCTTCAGAGAATGAATGGAGCTGGCTGCGTAAGCAAAGTTTACTGACTTGTAGCCTAAAAGATCTGAGCTATCTCCTTTGCAAACTGCAAAAAGAAAACAGCAGTATTTCATCACTCACACATGGCATCTGTGGTTCTATATATTTAAGGAACAGAGTTATAAATGAGACAGTATGAAATTTGTAAAGATACATCTTTCACTTTCTCATTACAGTATAATTAAACACCAAAATCATTAAATAGAGGCTCAATTTGCAATCTCAGCTAGCTGTTTTCAAGCATTAGAAAAGCTTGTCAAACCCAGATTATCATCTTTTTCTTAAAAGACAAAGTCTTCACTAAACCTCAGGTTATGGAATTGCTGTAAATTATACAGTATTAATCACTAGTAACTGTAGTAGTTAAATATGTACATACTAATACAAAAACACACTACCAGTGCCAAATTTCCCAAGTTGAACATTAATATAGTTCACATAATTCATAAACAATTCAAACAAAATTCATTAAAGATGAAAGATGTTTAATTCTCTTCACTCTTCTGAAGCACAAATAGGATCTAGCTATAGTTTTTTCAAATAAAATGACAGGAACATATACCCTTTCAAAGAAACAAAGGTAGAATAAGTGCATGTTGTATTTATAGCTATAAAAATACAAAATCTCTTACCTGTTCAGCTTGACACATCCTTTGTTCTCGTAAACTCCTTAAGTTAATAAAAGTAACTTAGTAAAAGCTGTCATTCTCAAAGTATTCTAGCACATATTTCAGTTCACATCTAGGTATTTCATTGCTGCAAGCTACGCACCTTTTGGAAGCTAACTGTTCTGAGAGGTAGTTTGCATATGAGCTGCTATAAACTTACATGAACCTCACGTTATTAAAAAAAAAAAAAAAGCAACAAAACCAAACCCCAGCAACTTCTATTTTCAATTCTGTAATGAAAAGTCCTGTGAAGTATGTGGCTTCCAGAAGTGCATTCCATCCATTTCTGACTCCTGAGGGCCCTCTAGTGCACTACACGCAAATGTACTGAAGAAATTACCACTTTCCACGCTTGGTTATTTTGTGTTTGTTTTTTTTTTAATTTAAAATAAATCCTCTGCCCCCTGAATTTTAGAACTGTTGGTAATCGTACCTTCTTGTGATGAGAAATGAAAAACAGACAGTGGCTTTTAAAATGCTATTAGCATGCTATTAAGCAGCTCAGGAGTGCTTTCCAAATTGAGGCATAGCATAGTCACTACACAGCTGGAAAAGTTGAGGCAGAGAGAAGTTAAGGGTTTGTGCAGAGCTAAGCAGCGAGACACTGGCAAAGCTCTGACTTCTGCCTCCTTGCCTAGTCTAAGTACAAAATAACATAATGTATATGTTCTCTGTAATTCAAACTAAAAAAGATATTCTCTTCTCCATAATGAATACTAAAGGGAATAGACAGTTAAAGAGTTGGTTTATGTTTCATATGGTTCCAATCTGAATTTATAAAACTTTGTGATTGGATTTTTTTCACTGGATATCACTTTCCTTTACTTTTGGTCTAAATATGTGCCATTGAGTTCAGATTCCAACATCTGTGCCTGTTACCAGGAAAAGAGCCTTCATGTAACCTGCTTTTTTCAAATCTGAGTTCTTGGAGGAACAGAGATTGTAAGAAATCCCTCTGGCCTCTTAAGTTTGTCCCTCTATTTTTTATTTTTTTTTTTTTACGTTCAAATTTGACTGAAAGGACATATCCCGAAGAAAGAAGATTAATTCAAAATGCTCCAGACAAGTGTGTCAATAAAGTCAGTAGAGAAAGATGTGGCTACTGCTGCTTGACATTTTTTATACTTTAAAGAAGTTGCTAGAGATTAACATTATTAGATCAACCTTAGATGCTTTAGGGTCCCTGTGAAAGATGAAAGGTCATTATTGAGAGGTAACAAGTTTGCAGCCCAAATAACAGACATTGTACACAGCTCACAGAGAGAACAGCCTCCTATATCTTATTTAATATCAGTGCAAAGTGAGTGCAAAATATCAGCAAAATCATATGGCTAAACCCAAGGTAAATACAGGTAACAGTATTACAGCCTGAAAGCAGAATTTCACTCATAGCACATGTTTACACATACTCATGAAGACATTGTTTTTAAATGTCCAAGATAGGCTCTCCTCCTGTAAGGACCAATAACGATCTCACCAGCAAATAATTCAGCATGAAGTTTCTATTCCACTATATGTCTTCTAAGTGTCTTTGAATTGTTTTATTTTTTATTTTACTTTGTATTGCTAATGGCACAGAGTTGCTTGAGTTGGAAATGTATCACACTGCAATAGTTGTTTTCAAACGTCCAGTTCTGGCATGTAGACTGCACCATGACCTGTCCATTAAAATCCACCAGTGCCAAAACATAGTCCATTCCAGCCACTAACCGCTTCCTTTTGCTATGCTATTTTTCTTAAACTAAAATTTTGGAACTCATATAATCTTCGTACTGCAACTCTTTAAGGATTACCTTTAAATTAGAGGAAATTACAAAAGGATATGGAGAATTCTTATTCAGTCCTCATTTGATTTGTAGCCTTGAAATCAAAATGCAGTGTACCCACTGATGCACAGTGCTGACTGCTCAGGGGTTTTTGGGGCTTTCTAACTGTGATGATGGCAGTGACATTTCCTTTATTTTTTCATGTTCAGAAAGGAGAACTCATTCCTTAAATGCTGCACCACTATATTCTCTGGAATGGATGGTGGTAGGAATTCAACAAAATAGGATTCAATATTTTCTAATGTAGCAGATATTTGCCTCTAATTTGGGTTCTTTAAAAGATAACGCATCAAGAGATGCTCCTTATTTCAGCTCTGGTGGTGTACGGCTCCAGCGTCCTACTAGTTTTCACAAAATAATTAAGGCTGGAATGGTTATGGACTTATTTCGAAACCCAACATTTCTTTGTGTTTCAGGAAAGACAAAGAAAATGTTGTTCAGGAGGGTAGTATTCTTCTTTCTGGAATCATTACTAACTTAATGCTGCAGTAGGGCACTAATGGGCATTACTGAGCTAAAAGGGTATTTCCTCTGTGGTCAGAAATATTTAGGACCAATTTTTTTAAAGAATAGACCTAAGAATACTAGTTTTCTGATCAAATTCTGGCCTAGGTTATGGCACTTTGCCTACCTATATTTAAGCCTGTAATGTCAGTCAGATTCTGTATTTATTCCTTGCTCTAAACTCTATCTGTGGTATTGCCATCTGCATCCATTAAACACAACTTCTCATGTTATTTCTTTATATATCCATATTCTGTGCCCAGTGTTCTCCCTTCCTTAGGTTAGGAACACGGGAATATTGAGTCCTGTGTTCCTAAACATAAATCATCCTTCCCTGTGCAATCTCCTATAGCCTTTGCATCCTTCTTAATCCTACCAAGTACAGATTCTTCCCCTTTGTGTGAACTATTATTCATACTCCTTTTTTACAACTTTTTTCCTAGGTGATCTTCTTCCTTTAATCCAGACTAAACACAACCTTCAGGGACAGTGGATACTACACCTGGAAAGATAAAAAAAAAACACAGAGAAAACAATTTATAACAACACAGTGATGCATTATTATTAATACAAAAAGCTACATAGTAGTTGCTATGTTGCTCTCCAAAATGCCAGACTGGTGTCAATTTTTACATGTATCAGGTTTGTATTTTAAATACATCTCCTATTTCTTCATCTAACCTTTACTTCTTGCTCCACTCAGTCATTACAGTTTTAAAAGATATGGGATTTTAAAGATGCTTATTTTTTTTTTTTTAGTTTTCCAAGCTGTCTCAGTTTGGTTATTCCCACCGCAGTTACGTTTGCAGAAGTTGCTGTAATTCAGCAAAGAAAAAAATATTATCTGTGCTGGCTTGTAGAGCATTTTGCAACAAAAGACCCTGTTTAAGTGGACATTTGTTATATTCGTACAAGGCTCTGAAATATGAATGTGGCCATTTTCCATTTTAGTAAATACTGTGCATTCATGGACCTCCTTTCCCACATACTTTTCAACTCCAGCAACCTATGATTTCAGTAAAACCAAACAGCACGAATGAGTCAGAATCTGCCCATATTTGAGGTGTTTCATTTGAACCATCGGTATTATGTCAACTGTTGCATTAATGACAAAAGCAATGCTCCAAAACCAGCATGGTTTGAAGAAACTGTGAGGAACAGATAAACAGTGAGAAAAGGGTATCAGTTCAAGTGGCGCAGAGACAGTAACTAGAAGTCATTGCTGATGACTCCTCTGAGATTCATTCTTCCAAATGAAACAAGAAGCAGGATTTTTGGAAAGCATTTTGTTCAGTATCAGGATTCTTCAGAAGCCAAAGCTCAGCACCCCTCTTTGTCCCTGGACTCCAGAAAGGATATAGTTTCAGGCTAGGCTCCTTGTTATGTATACTCTTGTCTTCCATGTGCAGGTAGCTCAATGTAAAGGATTAACATTTTTCCTAACATTTTCTTTTTTCTGAATAAAATAATGTAACATGAAGACTCATGTTGCCTTTAGAATAAAAAGTACTACTTTCTTCCCAGGCTACATTTGTGATTATCGTATGGGATGTTGTTCCTCTTGGATGCACTACAGCTAAATTGTTTCCATAGAGATAGTCTGCGGTTCATCTCTCTAAATGTCACACGGGCAGACATTTACATTAAAATGATTTATAAATGGTGCTCTCCTAGCTTTACTGAGTCCATGGGACTGAGAACTTATACTCTGGAGAAAAACCTTATGTCCTTATTATGGATAATGCAGATTTGACTTGCAA